TCATTAATAAAAGACTTTGTTATACTTCACAAGCCATCTAAAGACTATTTGTGGTGGAAAACCTCTGAGAACTTCTCCTTGGGCCCCTGGCTTCCCGCTGGGCAAAGGTTGCACGTCCTGTTCTAAAGACAATTCTTTACAGGCCCAGCGCACGACAGAACAACAAGGGAAGGCCATTCCATTGCGATGGCAGCTGAAGGAGAGCTTTCCAAACTCTGTAAGGTTCATGAATGGAGCCTGATTGGAGGCTGAACTCAGCAGTTTATTGAAATGCTTATTTAGGTCCTTTTGCAGCCTGCCATACATCTGGCACATTGCTATGCGTGTAGAATAACTGCCTGAAATTGTCTGCCATTTTTGCAGGCAGAGAAGGTGGGCATCTCACCAAATATCTCCAGCAACTAAAGACCTTTTCTAGGGGTTCCTGTGACTCAAGCACACTATATTTTTTTTCCTCCCTGTTGTCATGGTCGAGAATTGGAGGGACATCTTAACTGAATTTCTTCATAGGGTAAGAAATAGGCCAACTACTACTCAAGGGGAGTACGTAGCAATTGAAATGTGGATTGCAAACACGTCAAACCACACTTTGTTAGAGTCTTGTACATTCCCTAGAGTTAGAGGCACAGAATCTCTGCCCATGAAAATGGAAAAAATGTGATAAAAGAAAAAAAATATACTTTTTATATTTTATATTCAAGCTGACTGGCACAACCAGGGGATCACAACCAGACACAGTGAAGACACCTGCCCTTGCACTATGCTACTCTGCTGCTGAGTATGCATGCCCAGTGTGGAACACATCTCACCATACTAAAACAGTGGATGTGGCTCTTAGTGAGACATGCCGCATTATCACGGGGTGTCTGAGACCTACACCACTGGAGAAATTACACTGCTTAGCCAGTATCGCACCACCTGACATCCGCTGGGAAGTAGCAGCCAATAGTGAAAAGACCAAGGCAGAGACATCTCCAGCTCATCCCCTGTTTGGGTATCAGCCAGCACGTCAACGACTTAAATCTAGAAACAGTTTTCTAAGATCTACAGAGACACTCGCTGGAACACCTCAGCAAGCGAGAGTCCAAAAGTGGCAGGCTCAAACCCAGCACCTCATTCCGTGGGTGATACCAGATGAGAGACTCCCCCCTGGACACACAGAGGACTGGGCGACTTGGAAGGCGCTGAACAGACTGCACTCTGGCACCACGAGATGCAGAGCCAACCTTAAGAAATGGGGCCACAAAGTGGAGTCCACGACATGCGAGTGCGGAGAAGAGCAAACCACTGACCACCTGCTGCAATGCAACCTGAGCCCTGCCATATGGAGAATGGAGGACCTTCTTGCAGCAACACCAGAAGCACTCCAAGGGGACAGATACTGGTCAAAGGACATTTAATCAGCTACCAAACTTGCAAATTTTGGGTTTTGTCTGTTTGTTTGTTTGTTTGTTTGTTTGTTTTGTTTTGTTCTGTTAGAAATGTAATACAATTGACTGGTTGCCCTGACACAACAAATAAAATAAATAAATAAATATTCAAGAGTTCACCTCCCTAATGTTCTAGATCAGGGGTCCTCAAACTTTTTAAACACAGGTCCAGGTCACAGTACATCAAACTGTTGGAGGCCCGGATTATAATTTGAAAAAAATATATAAATGAATGAATTCCTATGCACACTGCACAAAGCTTATTTGTAGTGCAAAAAAACACTTAAAACAATACAATAATTTAAATGAAGAACAATTTTAATAAATATAAATTTATTAGTATTTAAATGGGAAGTGTGGGCCTGCTTTTGGCTGATGAGATAGGATTGTTGTTGTTGTTGTTGTTGTTGTTGTTGTTGTGTGCTTTCAAGTCAATTCAGACTTGAGTTGACCCTGAGCAAGGGCCGGGTAAATGACCTTGGAGGGCCATATCCGACCCCCGGCCCTTAGTTTGAGGACCCCCATTCTAGATTATCCAGTACTAATCAATAACCACCTTCTGGTGGGAGTCATGCTAGAAGACCTAGAGCAGTGGTTCTCAACCTGGGGGTCGGGACCCCTGGAGGGGTCACAAGGGAGTGTCAGAGGGGTCACAAAGACTATTAGAAAACACAGTATTTTCTGTTGGTCATGGGGGTTCTGTGTAGGATGTCTGGCCCAATTCTATCATTGGTGGGGTTCGGAATGCTCTTTGATTGTAGGTGAACTATAAATCCCAGCAACTACAACTCCCAAAATGTCAAGGACTATTTTCCCCAGACTCCACCAGTGTTCACATTTGGTCATATTGAGTATTCGTGCCAAGTTTAGTCCAGATCCATCATTGTTTGAGTCCACAATGGTCTCTGGATGTAGGCGAACTACAACTCCAAAACTCAAGGTCAATGCCCACCAAACCCTTCCAGTATTTTCTGTTAGTCATGGGAGTTCTGTGTGCCAAGTTTGGCCTGATTCCATCGTTGGTGGAGTTCAGAATGCTCTTTGATTGTAGGTGAACTATAAATCCCAGCAACTACAACTCCCAAAATGTCAAGGACTATTTTCCCCAAACTCCACCAGTGTTATTGAGCATATTGAGTATTCGTGCCAAGTTTGGTCAGATCCATCATTGTTTGAGTCCACAGTGCTCTCTGGATGTAGGTGAACTAACTCCAAAACTCAAGGTCAATGTGTAGCAGACCCTTCCAGTATTTTCTGTTGGTCATGGGAGTTCTGTGTGGGAAGTTTGGCCCAATTCTATCGTTGGTGGAGTTCAGAATGCTCTTTGATTGTAGGTGAACTATAAATCCCAGCAACTACAACTCCCAAATGTCAAGGACTATTTTCCCCAGACTCCACCAGTGTTCACATTTGGTCATATTGAGTATTCGTGCCAAGTTTAGTCCAGATCCATCATTGTTTGAGTCCACAATGGTCTCTGGATTTAGGCGAACTACAACTCCCCTCCAGTATTTTCTGTTAGTCATGGGAGTTCTGTGTGCCAAGTTTGGTACAATTCCATCGTTGGTGGAGTTCAGAATGCTCTTTGATTGCAGGTGAACTAGAAATCCCAGCAACTACAACTCCCAAATGTCAAAATCAACCCCTCCCCAAACCCACCAGTATTCAAATTTGGGCATATCGGTCCAGTGAATGAAAATACATCCTGCATATCAGATATTTACATTATGATCCACAACAGTAGCAAAATGACAGTTATGAAGTGGCAACGAAAATAATTTTATGGTTGGGGGTCAGCACAACATGCAGAATTGTATTAAGGGGTCACAGCATGAGGAAGGTTGAGTACCACTGATTTAAACCAAGAAGATTTAAGGAAGGGTAGATGTTTTTGGGAAACTAAAAATAACACTTCTGAAACTCTGCTGAATCTATATATATATAAATGCTCTGTGCGTAATGAGTACCTTAAAAACAAAAGAACCAATGAGCGAAATCACACCAAATTTGGCAACAAAATATCTCACTACACAAGGAGTAACCATCACTCAAAAATTATGATTTTGTCATTTGGGAGTTGTAGTTGCTGGGATTTGTAGCTCACCTACAACCAAAGAGCATTCTGAACTCCACCAACAATGGAATTGAACCAAACTTGGCACACAGAACTCCCATGACCAACAGAAAATACTGGAAAGGTTTGGAGGGCATTGACCTTGAGTTTGGGAGTTGTAGTTCACTTATATCCAGAGAGCACTGTGCACTCAAACAATAATGGATCTGGACCAAATTTGGCATGAATATTCAATATGCCCAAATATAAACACAGATGGAGTTTGGGGGAAATAGACCTGGATATTTGGGAGTTGTAGTTACTGGGATTTATAGTTCACCTACAATCAAGGAGCATTCCAAATCCCACCAACGATGGAGTTGAACAAATCTTGGCAACAGAAAATACTGGAAGGGTTTGGTGGGCATTGACCTTGAGTTTGGGAGTTGTAGTTCATCTATATCCAGAGAGCACTGTGGACTCAAACAATAATGGATCTGGACCAAATTTGTCATGAATATTCAATATACCCAAATATAAACACAGATGGAGTTTGGGGGAAATATACCTTGACATTTGGGAGTTGTAGTTACTTGGATTTATAGTTCGCCTACAATCAAGGAGCATTCCAAACCTCACCAACGATGGAATTGGGCCAAACATCCCACGCTAAACCCCCATGACCAACAGGAAATACTGTGTTTCCTGGTGGTCTTTGGTGACCCTTCTGACACCCCCCTGGTGACCCCCCCCCCCTTGGTGTATTGACTTCCCAGGTTGAGAAATGCTGCCTTAAGGCCATCCAGTCCAGCTCCCTTCACCAGGGCAACAAAACAAACCCCTCCTGACAAAGGGCCATCCAGCCATTCACACACACACACACATGTATATGCCAGATGCAGTATCAAAGATTTCAAAGGGACACCTAAAGAAGGACAATGATATGTTGCATGTTCCAGAGTAGCCAAACCAGGCAATCTCCCTATCAACACTGGCAAAGAAACAGCAGGAAATACTGTTTACCCCCAAGCATAAAGACATTACATAGATTAGAAACCAACACATTCTCATTAGTTCATTTCCAGATCACCAGACTGGGCCACAGCAATGCGTGGCAGGAGACAGCTAGTTTATATATATGTTTGTGCACTGGCATATCTTTGTCCCTAAGAGTTCAAAGACATATCTAGGCACATCAGTTTAACAACTGAGAAACCTGATTGCCTTGCATGAATGCCGTTTCCCCAAAAGGTTATGACTCTTAACAGGTCATGATTTTACCAAGAGATTATGGGATTATTTTTCAAAAGGTTATGACTTCTAACAAGGTCACGCGTTTCCAAAAATCATAAAATCTCCAAAAGTTTATGGAGATTTCCGTTTTCCAAAATACAATCGCATTAAAGAACCTGGAGATGACGAGGGAGGTATTTTCTCTAGAAATCTCGAGGTCCTCCAGCATCTCATTGGAGGACCAAAGCAAGACTTAGGACAAGATAACAAAGAAACAGACTCACTTGGTCTGATGTTTGGAGCCCTTCAGGTGTGCGTGATACTGTTCTATTGAGTTTAGAGTGACGTTGCAGATGTTGCAGGTATAGCTCCGCTTCAGGCCTGGGAAGAGAACGCAAGAGAATTAGCTGCTCAAGATTGATTACAGTTTGCCAGGCACAGAGCTGTCCATCAACTGTGCTGCATTCACTATTTATTTGACTCATTTCCAAAGCGTGCATCCCACTTTTCCCCTAAGAGGTAGATCTACAATGTAACAGATATTATTAGAGATGTCAAGTCAAATGTTATTTGCATCAAGCCATAGACCGGGGTTCCCAACCTGTGGTCCGTGGAGGTAGAGAAGGAATGAAGGAGAGAAAGAAAGAAAAAAGAGAAGGAAGGAAGGAAGGAGAGAAGGAAAGGAGAGAAAGAGGGAAGGAAGGAAAGAGAGAAGAAAGGCTGGAACCAAAGAGCAAAGGAACGAAGGAAAGAGAGAGATAGAGAAGGAAGAAAGGAGAGAGAAAAAGAAGGGAAAGAAAAAGGTGGAAGGAAGGAACTAGGGAGGTAAGGAAGGAGCGAAAGAAAGAAAGAAAGAAAGAAAGAAAGAAAGAAAGAAAGAAAGAGATAAAGAGGGAGGGGGGGGAGGAGAGAAGGAAGTGAACCAAAGAGCAAAGAGAAGGAAAAGAAAGAGTAGAGAAGGAAGAAGAGAGAGAAAAGAAGGAAAGAGTGGAAGGAAGGAAAGAGGGAGGTAAGGAAGGAGAGAATGAAAGAAAGAAAGAAAGAAAGAAAGAAAGAAAGAAAGAAAGAAAGAAAGAAAGAAGGAGAGAAAGAGGGAGTGAGGGAAGGAAGGAAAGAGAGGAGAAAGGCTGGAACCAAAGAGCAAAGGAATGAAGAAAAGAAAGAGGTAGAGAAGGAAGAAAGGAGAGAAGGAAAGAAAAGGAAGGAAGGAAGAAGAAAGGAAGAAGGAAGGAAAGAGAGTAGGGAAGGAAGGAAGGAAAGAAGGGAAGAAGGAAGGAAGGAAGGAAGGAAGGAAGGGAAGGAAGGAGAGAAGGAGGGAAAGGGAGGGAAAGAAGGAGAGATAGCTAGAGAGAAGGAAAGAAAGAGAGAAGGAAGAAAGAGGAAAGGAAGGAAGGAACCAAAGAGCAAAGGAAGTGAGAAAAGAGAAGGAAGAAAAGGAAGGAAAGACGGAAGAGGTACAGCAGTCTTTAGACGCCAGCAGGGAGGAAGAAGGAGAGAAAAAAGAAAGAAAGAAAGAAAGGGGAAAGAAGGAGAAGGAAAGAAGGAAGAAAGAGAGAGATAAGGCTCGGACAACTAAAGAGCAACAGAGCTAAACCCATAATATGCTCACCAAAGAAAGAAGAGGTAGAGAAGGAGAAAGGAAGAAGGAAAGAAGGAAGAAGGAAGGAGAAGAGAAAGAGAAAGGAAAGAGGGAGAAAGAAAGAGAAAGGAAGGATGGAAGCAAAAAGCGAAGGAAGGAAGGAAAGAGGTAGAGAAGGAAGAAAGGAGATAAAGAAAGAAAAGAAAAAGGGAGGGAGGAACGAAAGAGGTAGAGAAGGAAGGAAGGAGAGAAGGAAAGAAAAAAAGAAGGAGAGAGGGAAGGAAGGAAGGAAAGAGAAGGAAGGCTGGAATCAAAGAGCAAAGGAACGAAGGAGAGAAAGAGGTAGAGAAGGAAGAAAGAAGAGAAAGAGGGAGGGAAGGAAGGAAGGAGAGGAGGAAAGGAGAGAAAGAGAGAGAGAGGGAAGGAAGGAAGGAAAGAGAAGGAAGGCTGGAATCAAAGAGCAAAGGAACGAAGGAGAGAAAGAGGTAGAGAAGGAAGAAAGAAGAGAAAGAGGGAGGGAAGGAAGGAAGGAGAAAAGAAAAAAAGAAAGAGAAGAAAGAAAGAAAGAAAGAAAGAAAGAAAGAAAGAAAGAAAGAAAGAAAGAAAGAAAGAAAGAAAGACAGAAAGGGGGAGGGAAGGTTGGCCACAGCAACGCGTGACGGGTACAGCTAGTGCCTCAATAGAACAAACATATATTAAAGAGTAACCCCAAAGAACCCCACGTATGAAATGACACTCCTGGGTGGCATATGTTCTGTATCAGAAACTAGAGCTGATGTGGTCTATTCAGTGCAATTTTCTGAATCAGCATCCCAAATAATCAAACCGAATCTAAAGGTGACCACAAACTGATTCATAACCCTTTTGGTACTAATGTTGGAGACTCTGGTCAAAGTGGTCCCTGGTGAAAAAATGGTTGGGAACCACTGTCACAGATCATTGCAATTCTAACAAGCAAGACATGCACCAGTAGACATAACCTACATAATACGAATATGAATACAAATACTAGATGAGAATGAATGTTGACATCGCAGATCTCTTTATAAAGGCTTCATTGCTATCAATGAGGAAGCACATTGTGTATATTTTTGTGTTGGAATCAATGGGATGTAAAACTGCATGATTTGACCCGGATTGTGAGAGCTGTTCAGCAGTGGAACTCTCTGCCCCGGAGTGTGGTGGAGGCTCCTTCTTTGGAGGCTTTTAAGCAGAGGCTAGATGGCCTTCTGTTGGGGGTGCTTTGAATGCAATTTTCCTTCTTCTTAGCACAATGGGGTTGGACTGGATGGCCCACCAGGTCTCTCCCAACTCTAGGATTCTATGATTCATTTTTAGGCCTGTTCCTGGGGTTATTTGGGGTGCTGATTCAGAAAATTGCATTGGATAGACCACATCAGCTCTAGATGATTAAATATGGTTTTCTGTGGGCGAGCAGATGGCGACTCCTGGGTGACATATGTTCTATATCAGAAACTAGAGCTGATGTGGTCTATCTAGTGCAACTTTCTGAATCAGCACCCCAAATAACCAAACCAAATCTAAAGGTGACCAAAAAACAGTTTCGTATCCGTTTTGGTACTCATGTTGGAGAGTGGTCACTGGTCAAAGTGGTCCCTGGTGAAGTGTTACGTCCCTGGTTAAAGTGGTCCTTGGTGAAAAAAAGGTTGGGGACCACTGTCACAAACCATTGCAATTCTAAAAAGCAAGACATGCACCAGTAGACATAACCTACGTAATGCATATCCATAGGGATACCAAGGTGCTTGTCTATAAAAGTATTCCCCTCCCAACCCTGCTCTACGCCTGCAAAACGTGGACTGTCTACAGGCGTCACATGCAACTCCTGGAATGATTCCATCAGCGCTGCCTCCGGAAAACCCTGCAAATCTCTTGGGAAGACAGGCGGACAAATGTCAGTGTGCTGGAAGAAGCAAAGACCACCAGCATCGAAGCAATGGTCCTCTGCCATCAACTCCGCTGGACCGGCTACGTTGTCCGGATGCCTGACCACCATCTCCCAAAGCAGTTGCTCTACTCCGAACTCAAGAACGGAAAACGGAATGTTGGTGGACAGGAAAAGAGATTGAAAGATGGGCTCAAAGCCAACCTTAAACACTTTGGCATAGACACTGAGAACTGGGAAGCCCTGGCCCTTGGGCGCTCCAGCTGGAGGTCGACTGTGACCAGCAGTGCTGCAGAATTTGAAGAGGCATGAATAGAGGGTGAAAGGGAGAAACGTGCCAAGAGGAAGGCATGTCAAGCCAACCCCGACCTTAAAAACTCTGGCATAGACACTGAGAACTGGGAAGCCCTGGCCCTTGAGCTCTCCAGCTGGAGGTCAGCTGTGACCAGCAGTGGTGCAGAACTTGAAGAGGCATGAATAGAGGGTGAAAGAGAGAAACGTACCAAGAGGAAGGCGTGTCAAGCCAACCCCGACCTTAAAAACTCTGGCATAGACACTGAGAAGTGGGAAGCCCTGGCCCTTGAGCACTCCAGCTGGAGGTCAGCTGTGACCAGCAGTGGTGCAGAATTTGAAGAGGCATGAAAGGAGGGTGAAAGAGAGAAGCATGTCAAAAGGAAGGCATGTCAAGCCAACCCCGACTGAGACCGCCTCCCACCTGGAAAACGGTTTCCTCACTGCGGGAAAACATGCAGGTCAACATTAGGGCTCCACAGCCACCTACGAACCCACCCCCAGGACACCGAACTTGGAGGACCATCATCCTCGGACTACGAGGGATCGCCTAAGTCCAAAAAATACAAATATGAATACGAATACTAGATGAGAATGAATGTTGACATCAGCAACCTCTTCATTGCTATCAATGAGAAAGCACATTGGGTTGTTGGTTTTTTCGGGCTATATGGCCATGGTCTAGAGGCATTTTTTCCTGACGTTTCACCTGCATCTATGGCAAGCATCCTCAGAGGTAGTGAGGTCTGTTGGAACTAGGCAAAAGGGTTTATATATCTGTGGAATGACCAGGGTGAGACAACAACTCTACTCCGTTGTACACATTGTGTATATTTTCGCATTGGAATCAATGGGATGTAAAACTGCGTGATTTGAGCTGGATTGTGCCCAAGACATACAATATTGTATTATTTTTTTCCCCATTGCTTCAACAGATGGCTCTTCAGCCATTATCAGTTTTAACATATGTTAACAACGAAATGCTTGAAATATGGTGACAATCTCAAGCAAATTCTGCAAATGCCTAAAAACCAGACGGAAGGGGGAGCAATATGGGTTAATGTTGATCGTCACCTAAATGCCATTGTTTGCAGTCAGTGGTGCCTAATTGCAACATGGAGGAGACAAGGATCTGTTTCGAGATGCTGCGCGTATTCCTCTTGTTTCTCCACTGACATGGAAATGTTAGACTCCGGTCAATTGGGGTCAATCCCTTGATATTACTAGGAACTTGGCGGCCATAATTAATATGGAGCTGAATGAAGAATGCCTTAGGGCAGTGGTTCTCAACCTTTCTAATGCTGTGACCCCTAAATCCAGTTCCTCGTGTTGTGGAACCATATTTCCATCGCTACTTCATAACTGATACTATTATGAATCATAATATAAATATCTGATATGCAGGATGTATTTTCATTACAAATTGGAACATAATTAATGCATAATTAATCAATGTTTGGGGGAGTATGGACAATGGATGATGGGATCTGCAGTACCTTCAACTGACTCAGCTCTGACTTCCACAGACCACTGAGACCCCCACAAATAACATACATGGGCCAAACCCGACACCCAGAACCCCCATTACCAAAAGAAAATACTGGA